TCTTTTGGTTGATATTGTTGCCGAAACTGTTGAAGGTCAAGTACTAGACCTTTCAGATGCCAATTTCATTTCTTCTACTCAAGTTCGCAGTGGCTCTTTTCAAGAGGCTGGACAATGCGACATTGTGGTTATTACTGCTGGTGCCAAACAGAAATCTGGTGAATCAAGAGTTGAAGTAAGTGTACTAACATCAGGATGTAGTCCTCATACTTAGTATCCATACTATCAGTAAAAATAAATTTTAAACCTTTGAGCAAAGATATCTCAACAACTATCTGACAAAGCTCGATTAAAAATTTTTATTTGAATTCTACGAATCTATAGAATTCAAGTAAAAAATTTTCATCGAATTTGGTTAGGTAGTTGTCGAGATATCTTCGTTTAAAGTTAAAAAAAAATCAGTCTTATCAAAATAAAGCTACGCCGAGTTTTTCCTAAAACTTTTAAAGATATTTTCGACAATCACTTGACCAAATTTTATGAAAATTTTTTTAATTTGAATTCTACGGATTTGTAGAAGTCAAATAAAAAATTTTTGTCGAATTTGGTCGGGTGGTTGTCGAGATATTTTCGTTTAAAGTCAAAAAACATCTATCAAAATAGCTGTACCAAATTTTTTCTAAATCGTTGGCAAAGATATCTTGACAGCCACCTGATAAGTTTTTTTTTTATTTGAATTCTACGAATCTGTAGAATTCAAATAAAAAAAAATTTTCATTGAATTTGATCAGGTGGTTGTCAAGATATACTTGACGCTGCTTTATTTCGATAAACCGTTTTTAAGTTTTTAAATTTTGAACGAAGATATCTCGACAAGCACCCCGACCAAAATTCGACAAAAATTTTTTTATTTGACTTCTACAAACCTGTGGAATTCAAATAAAAAAATTTTGGACCAAGTTTTAGAAAAATTTGAAGCAACTCCATTTCGATGACGTTTTAAGTTTTTTAAAATTTTAAGCAGAGATATCTCGTCAACAACCAACTAAATTCGAGAATTATATGGGTTCGTAAAACTTATAAAAATTTTTAATCGAACTTGGTCAGATGGCTGTCGAGATATCTTCGCTCATACTGTTAGGTTACACGAATTGATGATCAATCATATGATTCCATATCTAATCAATGATTTGTCCAATTTTCAGCTAATTGATAGAAATTATAAAATTTTGGATTATGTGATAGGATCTATGAAACCATTGAATCCTAATACAATTTTATTAATAGTTGCTAATCCTGTAAGAAAATAATAACTTTTATAATTTAATATCAATAGCTTTTTCTACATGTATTAGTCTTAATATTTATTTATACCTTATAAAGGTAGATATATTGACTCGAATTGCTCAAAAACTATCTGGTTTGCCAGAAAAACAAGTTTTTGGATCGGGAACTTTTTTGGATTCGGCCAGATTAAGACTTAAGTTAGCTTCAGTGCTCGGGGTAATTATTTAGATAATTGAAAGTAAAGATGCTGATGAACTTAAATTAGTGTGGTGAAATTGCCATTGAATTTGTGAAATTTTTGGTGAATTAATTTCACCAGCATCTCTATCTAATTTG